GACCGCCCGACCGCTTCAAATTAACAAACGGTTTTCTCTTCCGTACCCAAATACGCCATCGGACCATCTTGAAGTAAGCTCCATTTTTTTATTGTTGGATATCTAAGTGGTTTATGCTGAGGCCAGGCTGACACTGTTTTAGATATTTCATTTGCCTTTGAGTGATCTGTTTGTTTGTTTATTGATCTTTGTGAAACGGTTTTGAAGTGTTTTTGATTGAGTTACTGTGAAAGTTTGCTTACACTGACTGTGTATTTGAGAAGACAAACACACACACACACACACACACACACACACACACACACACACGCACACACATACACACACACACACACACACACACACACCTACACACACACACACACACACACACACATACGCGTTTTGACCCCTTTTCAGCCAGACAAAGGGATCGGCCATTTTGTTTTCCAAAACTCCCTCCATCTTGGTAACCAACCTATCACTGCTGCTTACGTCATCACACCCACCTACCGGATCAGATTATTATTTCATTGTTTCATGGTTTGTTGATAAAATAAGTTGGTTGATGTTGATTGGCTAAACACTGTGGGAGGAGCTGAAGTGGTCATATTAGTTAATAAATGTTATTGCCAATTATGTTGTGTCTCAGGTGATTTGTTTGTGTGGTATAAAATACAACTGCAGCTCGTTAAAGAATTTCACGAACTTTAGACAGATAAGAGGTGTGGATTCACTTTTCCCCTGTTAGAAAGGGGTGGTGCCCCCAAGGCATATCCACGGATATCCTAATTACGTAATAAATCGGTAAATATTTCCATATTTACGAATTTGTTGATGAATCCAAAGAAGTAAGTAAAGCTTACAAATTATTTGTTGAATAATAATCACAACATATGCCTATTGCGGATTGTAATCTCAATCCTGTTAACTTGTCCAAAGAACAATTCATTACAAAGCTCAATACAAAAACAGCAAAAAAGAAGAACAAATTTAATAATAATGATGATTCCAATGAAAAATAATGAGTACAAATAAATTAATAAACACAAATAAGGCAAACACAACTGACAATAACATCTTACAGTAGTTCACAGAGATAGAAAATAGAATCAGCTAAATCAACACAATTATAAACTTAAAAAACTATTCCATACATATTGAAACGAATTTACTGTGATGCACAATTCCACGGCTTATGGCAGTTCCTGTAAGGAGATTGGGAAAGGTTAGCAAAACCATATATTACACAGAAAACATCAGTTCGGTGTATTGAAACATCAGGTGAATTTAAATCAAAGCTCCAAGGTGCAGACAAATCTTTCAGTGAAGAAAGAAAAATGAAGGTCCTGCAGACCCACAACTTCACCAGCACAGAGGCAGATGTGCAGCACAGTGCATGCTGACCTGTAATAGATTTAAAAAAATAGTTTTTTTTTAAAAACAAAACAGAACCTGCAGTACACTGGTTCTGTTCAGTTTAAAGAAAAGCAGCAGGGAAAATTACAGAGAATTTACATTTTTAAGACAGATCTAATCATTATTAGGCTTAAGTTGAATAAACAAATTCACATTGTAAACAGTTCAATGCTATTTTATTAAAAAGCCTGTTTTTTAAAACGTTTTACCCCCAATTGATGCAAAATAAGCTCTAAGGTCCAATTTACATTAGAAAACATCCTGCTACATTCAACATTTATAATGCATTTGGTTATATTAATTACCTACACAATAATACTCTGTAGTAATGTGTTGTGTACGTTTAACAACTTCATTCTGTAGCTTAAAACATACATGAAACCGTCTAAAGTTAACATGTAAGTCCTGAAAGCTTCTACAATAAATGCAATTACCTGAAACAATTGTGAACAAACGCTGCTGATGGACATGAAGCTGCTGTAGCTCCTTAATATTCCTGCTCCATTTTCGCTAGCTTTAGCATTTTTCCTTTGCGTGTAGCTGCCGCCACGGCTGTGACGGGACCTACGGGCCACCGTAGAGGTGAAGGCTAGACTGTCCGAATTCAGAGCCGCTGACTTCCGGTTTTAGCGGTCTTCAAGGACCCGGCCTTGCTAGACCGGAGAGGACCCGTACTCATAAGCATCCTTCCTGTGGATTCGGACACACCCAATGTCTCAAACTGAGGGATTCCACTAAAACCCTTTCCCTTTCAGACACTAAAAGTGACACAGGTTATAGTTCAAATTATTTTAACCACCAGATACCAGAAATTAAATATTTGGGTCATGTCCAACCTTTTGATGCACGAATTATGAAACATTCAACCTCAATCATTTAACAATTATTCTCATTCATTTTTGTGTGTGAATGAAACAAATTTCAACAAATATTGTTTGTAACACCTAATAACATGCAACTGAAATCCACATAGAGGGTCTCAAATGCAATAAGGTACAGCTGTGCTTAATGGCAAAAACAAATAAGTAAATTACAATTTTGAGAAGCCGTTCAAATTATATTTCCCATTTTCATCTTCTAGTTATAACCTTCAGGCTTCAATTGATATGACCTTATTAGCTCAGAGCACAGCTGAGGATGTTTTGATTTTCAGGCAGGCCTTGCCTCCTCTGTCTCACATTTTCAACCCTTTTTTTCTCTCTACCGCACTGTGCTCCCTCGCAGCATAATGCATTTGTGACACGTCAGCGGTTATCAAAAACACGTCTTCCATCAATTCTCTGATAATTTTCAGATCCTTTCCACATATACTCAATCTACACTTTCATTCATATTTACTCAAAAGATGTTTTGTGAGTTCTTTTTCCCCCCATACTGTTGTGAGCTGGGAGGTGAGCACTCTACATACACCATTACGTCACCTGTTTTTGGGAGCTTCTCTGATTTCAGGAGAGAGAGCAGCAGCTGTGGTCAATCAGCTCATCAGCAGGTGGCCTTCATAAGGAGGACGGAGGACACTGCTAAACTGCTGGATGATTACGCCTTACTGGTAGAAATCCCAGCCACAGTGATTCTATGAACTCTAGATTTTGAAAACTTTGTTTTGCTACGATTTTTGTGCTTAGACTTTGTTCCCGTTTTTCCCTCGTACTGCAGGCTCTGTCATCCCTCTCCATACACCGCATCCCAGCTTGACTCTTTGGATATACAACTGCCCGACCATACAGCCTCTGGATTCACCTCTCGACTCCCTGTCCTCCCAACGGCTCGACTCGCTCCTGACAAACCTGCTCTCTCTCTCTCATCACCTCCGGTTGGAACCCCGTCGTTCTACCTCAACCCTGGATATCCGCTCGCTCTCCCAGCTCACCCCTCCCCGGACAAACTTCACCACGCTTCGTCTGTAAGTCCTCCTACCAAGTTCATGATGGTTTTGACTGGTTCTTTTGAATGCTGTCTGCATTGGCCTGGTTTTCTGCATTTTAGCCTAAATTAGAAAGACAACTCTGGTGTAAGAAATAGATGGTGTCGTCCGCCTTGAATAGGATGGTGTTGACAGGTTCCTTGAATGCTGTAAGGTGGTGTTAACAGATTCTGAACGCTGTCTGTATTTGGTTGGGTTTTTGACATGGATGTGAAATTTGCCTTGAATAGAAACGTTGTTCTTATCTTGTTGTTTGTTGTGTTGGATGTTGCTTGCTTAAATTGTTGCTTGGATAAATGAGGGAGTGCATGGAAAGCTTTGTACGTGTTGTCGACAGTCCTCCGGCGTCGGCTCTTGGCGCCGCGAGGTGACGGGACCCTGACTCTCAAAGGACCAAATAATGTCATGGATTTTATCAATAAGTTTATCAATAACCCATTACCTATAGTGAAGAGAGAAGGAGACAATGAGCAGAGATGTCAAACAGTTATAACTGTGGCAAGATGCCGAAGCAAAATGCCCCGAACATCTGTTCACAGATTTTATTTATAGTGAGGAAGATAAAAAAAGAGGAGTGAGGTCATTGTGTGTGTGTGTGTGTGTGTGTGTGTGTGTGTGTGTGTGTGTGTGTGTGTGTGTGTGTGTGTGTGTGTGTGTGTGTGTGTGTGTGTGTGTGTGTGTGTGTGTGTGTGTGTGTGTGTGTGTGTGTGTGTGTGTGTGTGTGTGTGTGTGTGTGTGTGTGTGTGTGTGTGTGTGTGTGTGTGTGTGTGTGTGAGAGGATGCAGAGGCATAGAGCAGTACATCTTACATCCAGTTGGTTGAGTTAATGATCAAGAATTAATAAACATAAGTTGTTCTATACATTAGCATAGCGTAATATTGTTTTTGGACGGTAAACGGTTCAGGGGTCAAAACTTGACTTTGGAAAAAGTGGGGGACGCATGTCCCCCCGTCCCCTCCCAAAATTACGTCCATGCTGCCACAGCATCCAGAGGCTGTGTCTCAATTCAGGGTCTGCATCCTTCGAAGGACCCAGCCCACCCGGCCGACTTGGGCTGCGTCCTCCGTCGGCCGGGTAGACCGGATGTTAACGGCTGTGAATTTGGACAGGCCTAGCCTTCATGAACTCCCTCGGCGAACGTTCCGTCGCCTAGCAACCGTGGAACCGCTGGGCAGAAGGGAGAAGGAACTTTAAACGATGGAGCTTGACGTTTTATTTAGCTTTTTAACCCCCAGAAACCCAAATTTAGAAAACACCTGCAAAATCTTTTTTTAACCTTTCACATGTTGTTCTAGGAGGCCAGATAAACGGGCCTATTTACACATTTTAACAGCCAATAGTGTTGCAGAACTGAACAATAGGACCTATTAGCAATGTAAATGTGGTTTTAAAAAGAAAAAAAATGGGGAAGGTTTATTTTTGTGGACTTAAATCTGATGTTGTAATATTACAACCGTGGGTCTCTGGGGGTTAATCATTTCCTTGACTGTTGGAGAGCTAATTCAGAGAAAATACTTTAGACAAGCTGAGCCTGAGCAAAGATGTGATAATAGTTTTTAATACTTTCTAAGGGTCTTACTTTGACCAAAACCGATTTATCACCTTTTAAGACTTTTCAAGACCCAGGGGATACCCTCTAGTAAACAATTCTCATTTGTAAACAAAAATAAAATTCAAGAGTTTAATGCAGAACTGATTTTATTTAGATATTTCTTTTATATGTACATGTTTAATCTTTATTAACCATTTTTTTCTAGCAAAGTAAAAAGCTGTCAAAGTTCTCCCTTCTCTCCTGTGCTCTCTGCTGCTCTGCCTCCCTCTGCAGCCTCATGTCCTCCCTGATCAGCTCCAGAAGCTGGTCATCGCTGGCACCTTCCCCTGGATGCCCATTTTCTCCAGAATAGTCTTAACTAACATGTAAGAAAAAAACAGATAGAGAAAAGAGGACAACGGGTTATTCCTTTCATGTTTTCGCAGAAAAAATAAACTCAAACGAGTTTTTAAAATATGAGATGTTATTGTACCTCCATGCCACAGCCGCCGAATACTTTGCTCCGGTGATCATGTGGTCCATCTTTGCCCTAAGCTTAATAAATTCCCTGGTTTTCTCTTTTGTTCCTAAAATACAAACTTCTATTAAAATCAGGGGGAAACGTAGCGGGAGAAGTACGACACCGAGCGGCTGAACATACGAGCCGAGACCGCGATACGAGCACTTTCACTGTAACATTTCTGACTAAAATAACGTTCATGTAACACAAAAAGTCCTTAACCTAACAGTTTTCAGGTTTATACTGACATTTATATGTGCAATCCTCTCCGACAGCTCCCGCTTCACTGTCCGCCATTGTTTTTAAGTTTTTCTGCCGGCCGGCCCGCAAGGCATCTTGGGAAATGCTACCTATTGAAGGACACACCGGACCCATCCTTCTTTCAGGCGAAAAGAAGGCCGCATTCGTCGACCGCATTTGAAGGAGTCTTCGAATTGGGACAGGCCGAGTCGCGGCGCTGTGACGTAACCGGCCGACGAATCCGGCCGACGTAGGATGCAGACCCTGAATTGAGACACAGCCGATGAGTGTAGAGTAACACACAATGTGAAGCTATTCATTGTTTTGGTTTAAGAACCACTGAAACCAGTTTGAAAGCAAAAAAATAAATAAAAATAAAAATCCTCAGTGTTGCTTTAGCATATCCTTCTTTCCTCTGAAAGCTGACATTCAGATGTTGTGGTTTTAGTCACTTTATCACAAAGAAGCTGGAAGAAACATTTAATCCTTCCAACCAGGTTGTGTCTACAAAAACACATTTCCTAAACAGCTGAAATTGGTGAGCCAGCATGGTGTCCACCTGCTGGGTGGGCCTAGTTTAGCAGGTAGTGGAAGTTCAGGCTAAATTAGCTTACTTAACGAGTGTCCTGGGTCTCTCCTGTTTCTCCTGCTTTTCCAGCTTTGTTAAGATTTTGGCACTTCATCAGAGTTCAGATCTAGGACTTTTTGAAAAACAATGTACTTCATCCAATGCTTTTGAAAATTCAGACTAGCACACATGGCAGATTCGAATGAAAATCTCAGAAATTAATCTTTTAAACATCTACAACTGATTTAATTTTTCAGTCAGCCCAACTTAACATGGCTTATAGCATAAGTAAACACAAAAATGACTATAGGTTTAGAGCAATAGCCGAGGGCTACACCCATACTTAAGTAAGATGGCCTTATGTTAAGTAACAATGACATTTTAGCCCTTTTGGCAGGAAAGGTAACACAAGGATATACTTACCTTTAAGGAATTTAAGAATTAGCTTTTTTCTGATGGACAAATGTTTCTTAATAGCAAAGCACGCAAAAATGTTTTCTTCTCTTCCTTTCCTGTCTTATAGCATCCTGTTTTATTATGCTATTCACACTTTTATGTGCACATAATATTCTATGATAAAAGCAATCTATATTGTTTCTTGTTTCTGAGTTACTGGATTGGTTTACGTTTACTACAGGAAAACAGTATTTACAAGTTATCATTAGGGGGTGTCCGATATTATTGGTCATAGTATCGGTAATAGTATCGGTCCATATCGGCATTAAAAGTTAACATAGGAACATATCGGTATTAGTTTTCAATCTTTTAAAGACACTATTTTTACTTACCGTGCACTTATTATACACCAAACTCCTCAGCTACATATGCTGTCTCTCAAAATGTAAAACTATAACAGATCTGGGTTAAAGTTTCAGATATATGTTAGTTATTATGCACAATTTGTGAAGTAGAAATTTGCTCTGTGTACGCTGTCCTCACAGCACGTAGCTACGTGTAACTAGCAGCTAACAAACTTAAACAAACACACGAATCTTCACCCAAGGCTTGCTTTTCTTATCTGAATATCTTTATACATGTTTTGTCACCATAGATGCAAAAAGAAAGAACACACTAATACACACCTGTTAGCCTCACACTTGAGAAGAACGAGATTCAGCTGCTGTTGGAGACTAAATAAATATGGCATTTTTCCTGTAACTTACTTAAAGTAGTTGTCATTTTGTACAAAACATTGTTTCAAATGTAAGTATGCATTATAGAAAAAATGTGATATTAGTAACCTAAATCGTTTTAGTTTTTCTTTTTGTATGTGGGTGGGACACAGCATAAATCTTTATTGGTCTACATCAGTATTGGAAATTAAGAGTAAGACAATATCTGTAAATCGGAAATCAGTAAAAAAAAGCCAATACTAAGCATAGTTATTATGATGCAATTATATCGAAAACAATTACAACATTCAAGTTTACCTACATCTTTAAAGGTGCAGTATGTAAGAAAATAGTGAGAATTTTACAGTGAGAAAATCCCAAAAGGGTCTAATGTTTCAGTCATTCTGGAAGGAAGATTCTACTGAAACGTATTCATATCCAGCCAGCTGCGGGGATTGTCATTTTTCTCCTTTCAAAACAAAGGAAGGAGGGACGTAACTGTTTACCATCGGTGAGTGAGGGGGGTGTCGTCTCCTGTGAGCTAATACTGCAGCGAGTGTAATTTGACGACGGACGGCAAAAAGCACCAGAGATATTTAAAATTGTTGCAGTAACCACATTTTACCACAGGATGTCATTTTTACTTCACTTCTACATAATGCACCTTTAAACTTTGGTAACCAAAATGGCCCCATTGCTGGCCAAAGATAAAGAAACTGGTCTGAATATTAAACAGTGTAGGGAAACAAAGGGTTTATTTTGAAAAGCTGGTAAAGTGTTCATCACATTTCCAAAAATGAAGCGCAGGCAGCAAATAATAATAAAAACAACAACTTGATGATCATCATAAACAGTCCTATAGGAGCCCTTTCATTTCCTTCACATCCACTTGGACACATCTTAGCCAAAGACAACGTTTTACAGACACAGGTGGCGTGTGAAGACCTTTAAATCATAAAAACTGTTTACACGATAACAGGATCAGTTCAAATGGCACAAACTGACACCAAACAAGAAGAAAAAATCACAAGATCAAGAATACATAACTGGACGCATCGTCACATCTTTATAACACATTTAAAACTATTCCTGCCTCTTTATTGGCTGAAGTGAACAGAGAGAGGAGGGAGCACCCAGCTGTCCATCGTATTGCACAGTGTTGTGGTTATGGTGTAAAAATCCCAGAGTAGAGGCACTTGGACACATTTAAGTCAGACATGGAAGAAAAAAACAAAACATTGATTTTTTTATCCAAACACTGAAATGCCACAAAAGCAATAGGGGCCCATCTATTGGCTCAACGCTGTAGTTAAAAAATAACAAACAATTATAAAAATAATGAGCTGTGACATGCATTCAGTTTAGACCCCGTTGCCATCTGCAGAGCTACATTAATTCCCATTAGAGTCATTTGTGATGGCTTGTCTTGTGTCGTGCTGCATGTGACTCTGCGATGATGTATTGCCGGGCTCAGCAGAACCAGACCTCTCTCCGCTGTGCAGAGTAAAGCACACTAGTGCAACATTTTGTTAAAAGCCTTGGAGTGGTGCACACTATGCAAGAATAAATAGAATTCTTCTTCCCCTAACATTATTTGGTTGCTTTAACCCCAGAGTCCGAAATTAACACTCGCCACTCGCCAAATGCGAGTAAATTACTCCATTTGGCGAGTAAATTTTTGAGCTCTACCTGCCACCTGGCGAGTAAATGTTTGCACCAAATTAGTTATGTTTATCAGTCTTCTTCCACGGATTTCTGATACTCCTCCCACCTGCATGCAACGTACACAAACGTACGCGAAACGTGAGCGCCGCACCCAACGTCATTTCCACCTATCCCATTCAATCAGTTTATCAAGTTAGCGGTTAGCTTCGTGTTAAAACTAGCGGTGAAATGTGGCGGTTTTTAACTGGAGTCAGCCAGCCTTCCAAAAGAAAACTCGTCGAACTGGAAGAAAAACCACCAGGACCAGTGGCAACCAGAAGATTTTGTGAAAAGTGGCGAGCCGGAGACGGCGGAGTCGTGAGACAATGGCTACATTATGATGGCCGCGTAGCGTTGCTGCCTTTCACAGACCACTGGCCCTCGGCATTCTTCATATATCCAGAAAATGCCCGTACTTCTGACTTTGACTTCTTTGAGGGATAATAAATGTCCCGAGTGCTGCCGTCTCCTCCTGCCATTATTTCAGCTTTAGCTTAAAGAAAGTTTTGGTCGTAAACAACAAAGCGCGCATGTGCCGCCGGCAACTTCTAGCAGATGATACGGTGGCTGGTAAGGGTCACCGCGCCTACACCGCAGCCACGGTAATCCACCGAGATTATATATATATATATATATATATATATATATATATATATATATATTTTAAACAAGATGGTTATTATTATTGTCTACTTTTTTACCGGGGTTTACCGCTACACCGGTTACCGTGACAACCCTAGCCCTGACACACTTTCAGATATTCTCATGGTGCAGCTGTGTTCTCCAGAGATCAAGGACTAGGACCCAAATGAGGCTGTAATGCTTTGGCACAAAGAAGGTGTCAGAAGCAGGAGGCCAGACTTCATGGGCAGAGAAAACAAGGAGTCTGACTAGATTTCAATGAAAGAGTTCATAAAAACATCTCTAAAAATAAATGAATAAATAAATAGTAAAAATGACAAAAAGTTGTTTTCCTTATTAATTGATGTTTTAATTATTTTGTCATTCTGTTTGGAATCAACATAATATAGAATTACATGCTTTAGGTAGATCTAAATCATTTAGAATTTTGGCCGGTAAAAAATATGCTTGGCCGGTAGATTTTCATCATCTACCGGCCAACTTGGCCGGTGAGTAAAAAATTTAATTTCGGACCCTGTTTAACCCCCTTAAATGTATTCAGAGGTGTCACTTTTTTCAGGATAGAACCCCCAAGGCTGCACAAAGAAGATGGGGTCACTTACAGGGACAACGTAACAGATTCAACTTTAAGCATTTTTGGTCTTGGTAAATTTTCTTTGGAAAGATCAACACTACTGAGACAAATTTGCCTCCACGCACAACACTCTGACAGCACAGACGATAAATGTTTTCAGCTTCATCATTTCATGATGACATGTTGCACCACTACAGATTCAAATGAGCTGAGAAAATCCAAGAATAAGCCCCTTAAAATAACCAGAATGAAAATGAGACAATTTTTAAAAGTAAAAGCATAGATTTACCAGATTTTTTTTACATTATAAATTGTCAATGTGAGCAACCCCTCAGGGGGGTGCAGAAGGAATTTGTTTCAGTGACCTAGAGTTCAGGTTGCTGCATTTTGCAGATGATGTGGCCCGTTCTCCAAGGGAATGGAAATATCTTCAGAAATGAAGAGAATATCTCTCTTTATGCTGAATGGTGTGGACAGAGCCATTTTATATGTGCAGAAAAGCACCAAATAACACTTCTATCTAGTCACCTGCCAGTGGTTATGCATCCTCTTATGGGCCATTCCCATCTGTACCGGGTCGGCCCGGGCCGGGTAGCGTAGGTTGTTTACATATCTGGGTGGCCTGGTATTTTTCCGGGCCAACCAAGGTTCATTCTCTGCCCTCTTCTCGAGGGGGTCTGCTTCAGGCCGACCAGGGCCAACACACCCACTGCTGACAGCAAATTCACACCTTCCATTAGAGCAGGGATTCCCAAAGTGTGGTGGGTGCGCGAGCTGCCGCTAGGGGGTGCGCGAGGTGAAAAGTGTAATGGCTGCGGAGCTCAGAGAAGTCTGTCGTATGTCACCATTAGCGTAGAAACTCATTTGTGGGTGGGCCAAAGAAAAAGTAAGTGGGCCCAATAAATGTAACTGAAAACAAGTATATTTTTGCGCGCGCGTGTGTCCTCCACATGTGCCCTAGCTTCATAATAACAATTTGATCATTTTTAACGGTGTTGGAGGAATCTGAAGGTGGCGAGTCATTCTGGCAGATTGTAATTAACACCTGTCTCATGCAGGTGTTCTGACATTGTAAACCTCACACACAGAACATTGTGGCTGTAACAAATTAAATCAAGAAATGATTCCCATTCAGGCTATTAACAGCGCGCTGAAGATCTGAAGTTCAGAGTGCGTCTGTCAGAGGTCAGACGCGTTCCAGCAGAACCACGGCTCACGGGTGCACAAGTGAGCACATCTGGGCTGGGCAGAAGTCATTTTACAACATTGGTTTAAATAGCGCCGATAACGAGACGCGGTGACGCGCGCGCACACACACCGATTCAATAAGCGCGCACGCTGCTTTAACTCCGGCGCGCCGTCAGACTGAAGGCAGAAATGAACGCTGCCTCCACCGTGATAAAAACTTTTAAGAGGTTATTTTTCATTCAAGGTCAAATTAAGATATTAGCTTCTGGGATGAGTCGGGTCCGCTCCAGCCAGTGACTCCTCATGAACCTGACCACATCTCATGTTACTGCAGCATTTGTTATTCCAGTCCGCGTGGCAGCGGATCGCAGATTCAGCCACACCATAAAACAGCAATAAGTCGGTCTGAGGTAAAAGTGAACATCATGGCTATATCTTTTCCATCTTGTCCCCTATAGACATTTGATTACGCACAAGTAGGTGATCAGCTCAGGTTTACGCAGAGCAGAAGGAAGGAGAGCGCTCTGGCCGCACAGGTTAAACGTTCCTGCTTTAAGAAAAACGTTAAATTAGATTGTTTATGTGCTACCTGGGCACTCTAAATATTTATTCAAAATGAAATCAAAGGAAATTGTAATGGTATCGAATGTTTATTAATTACTATTTAAAAAATGAAAGTGATGGGGAATTTTTTTTAACCCTGTCTGTTTAGCTTGACATCTGATATATATAGAGCCATGCCCTGATGTGGGGGCTGGGGGGGGGGGGGGGGGGGGGTGCGTCGACATGGTCGGGACATAGAAGGGGGTGCGCGGCTAAATAAGTTTGGGAACCACTGCATTACAGCAAGCCTCTGATTGGTGGGTAGAATCAGCCCACATGGGCTTAAGACAAGGATGTGTGGAATCAACCGGGCCAGGCTGGGGCCGACTGGGGCTACCCGGCCCGGGCCGACCCGGTACAGATGGGAATGGCCCATTAGTTTTACAGCTGTAAACATCTTTTCTTCTGCACATTTTTGCAATTAAATCTCATCAAATTCATCTTTCATTGCATAGATTCCAGATAACATGTTCTAAAGATGCATAATTCCAGCTTAACTTCAGGCAATCTTAGTTTTCATTGTTCTGATAGAAAAAAGCAGCTTCTAGAATTGTTTTAGAAAAATGTAGTGTGTCCAATTTAATTTGTATGAATTTAGACCAAAATATTGTTTGGTAATAACTTGATTCATAAATCTGCCCCAAATATGGAAGCAGTGGGACTAGTTTTCCTTCTGTGAGGTAAAAACATGGTTGTTACCAAGTAAAATTCACACATATTTGCACGTCTGGATCTGACAGGGTCTGTGTCCTAGGCTGTGGAGAGAAACATGTATAAATGATCACATTAAAGAAGTCAAAGCCTGCTGTCTTGTTTGAAAGATGGTTCAGCCCATCCTCTAAGGAGTTTGGACTTTACTTCTACACCCTGTGATGTGATCCGTACATCTATGGTATTTTCGCAACCAACAACATAAAGGTATGGAAAGCCTTTACGTGTTCATGAATAATGAGTTTTCTTCAACATGGAATGCAGCAGAGAAGAATATTATTTCATGGACCAACAACTCCCCAGTTTACCAGAGGCTTCGGTATTTTTTAGTAAGCATCTTGACTCAGTTCATAAATTAGCAGATGTCCGTAAAAATTCCCTCACCTTGAATTCACGACCATAAAATAGAATAATAAAGCAGCCAATGTAAAAATAACCTCATTCTATTCTGTCCAGATTCAATCATGAACCGACATAAGGGCAGAAAAAAACATTTCTCTGGTCATCTCTTAAGAAACTGAGTTTCTTACTTTGTGCTTTACTGTCATCTTTAGGTAAATATTACACATTTGTGAAACTAAATGGACACAATATTACATTAATTTACTTGTAAAAAATTGCAACTTTATTTTATTGGTGTTTAATGAATATGAACCCTAACCATGAATTTTAGATAAACGTTGAACAACATCAGCTTATAATATTTGATCATATGCAGCTGCATGGTGGCGCAGTTGGCATCAATGTTTTCTTGTAGCAAGGTCCCTGGTTTGAATCCCAGCTAAGGCCTTTTTGCATTGTGTTTGCGAGTTCGCCCAACGTTTTTGTGATATTTATGCAAATACATCACAAAATTTGCCAAAATTGTTTGAACTTGTATTTTATGCCAATTTTGAGCACATTTGGAGCTCATTTCCTCTCTAATTTAGCTCCAGAGCTGACGAACACCTCCCACATTGGCTCACACGTCATGGAAACCAAGTTAAAGATTTGTTCCTGACACACAGTGGCTCTCAGTTAAAAATAATTCTAATCAAAATGATTCATTTTAAAAACTAAAACAGCTCAAAACAGTAGTTATGTTGCAACAGCCTAACAGTCATTCTGTTTATAACCACGCACACACAGACACACACACAAACACACATGATTTACAGAAGCCCACACACCTCCTCAGTCACACAGGCCTGCTAAAGAACCGTACTGATGGTGTCAAAGTCCTTGCTGATCTGAGAGTTGCTTGGCAGTGACTTCAGGTACTCCAGGTGCCTCCTGGCGTCCTCCTGATTGTGTCTCACGTAGTAGATGACATATGCAATCACCATGGTGAACCATCCAAACATGGTGACGAACATGGCAACATCGGTGGTCTTATGGTGAAAGTTGCAGAAGTTGATCCCCGAGTCCAGCACCTGGATCACCGGTTTGCCGGCGTACTCCTCTTGCACCGCTGTGTGACAGATCACTTCGTTCACCGTCTCCGGGTCCAGGTGCAGCTCCCTCAGGACCTCCTGCAGTGTACACTCACAATGCCACGGGTTGTTCGAGAGGCTGATCTTTGCTCGCAGACGAGCAAATGCCTCTTTGGGGACACTTTGGATGTGATTGTTGGATAGATCCAGCAGGAGGAGGCTGTTGGAAACGCCTTGAAATGCTCCGACGTCCACGGTCTCGATGTCATTGTAAGACAGGTCCAGCTCCTGAAGGTAGTGTAGTTCTCTAAAGGCATGGTTGGGGATGTGGGTGATGTGATTGGCTGCCAGAAGCAGAACGACCGTGTCTCTCGGGAGATCCGGTGGGATTGTTTCCAGGTTGCAAGACATGCATTGGACCACCGTCAAGCCGTTCTTGTCTATGCAGTGACAACTTGCAGGACAAGATGTCACTGATGTGCTTGCAAAAAGTATTCCAAAGAGCAAGACCCAGAAAAGGAAAATGCCATTAAAAATCAGGGTTTTCCTGGACATACCCGGTCCTGCCAGGTCCTGCATAATTAGCAGTGAGCTCCTTAAATACTGTTAGGCAAAGATAATCATTCTTCAGTCTGAGGTCTTAGGGCATGAAATGCTGCAGACTACTGCTTCATCAGACTTCAGAATAACGTCATTCACAAAAACACAGAAGCTTTTCAGGAGAGAATCTGTGAAAAATTATTTGAGAAGGTTTCAAAAATTTAGAGCTCATCCAAAAAGTGTGATGCTTGCCGAACATAATCTAGCTGCAACCTGCAATCTCAGGTTTTACTGTGAAGACGATGAAAGACTCGGACAATGGATCTAGAAACGCTTGCAGTCCACCCGTCAAACTGTGTGCTGCAAAAGGACAAAGACAACAGAGTTAGACTTTGCTGCATCATGTACATTAAATATTAAACCAGACTTTCCAAAAAGTCTGCTTAGTAAATGCTTACAACATAAATGGGATTTGGGAGAAAAATCCGATCCACTTCAGCAAACCTCATGAAGCAGCAGGCGCACTTTTACACAGGTCATAAAATTAATTCTCTCATTCAGTTAGGAGTCTAACCGTGCTCCAGATCTCCGAGCCTTGCTCATATTGGTCTCAGTTACAGGATTTCACAGCTGAAGAAGGAACAAGCTTTAACAAATAGTCATTTCCTATAACAATAAGAACTTCTTCATTCTTCTCGCTTTCTTAATTTAGAAGGCTGCTGTCGCTCACTTCTCTGCTCAGAATAGTCGAGGTCTCTAAATTTACTCCATCCGTCCTGCAGAAGCATCATCACTCCAGGGCTGTGCACCCTCTGGTGGGCTAAACCGATCACACAATAAAACCCCAGCATGGGTTCGAGGTCATCCTGTCTTCTCGTCTTTTTCTTTATTTCCTCTCCTCTCCTTTTTTGGTGTGTTTTATAGCTTCAAGCCACATTGCTCCAACTCCCTGAGGGCCTTTAAAAAGGGTCCATCACAGCCTTATTAATGTGAGCTCAGCATCAGGTGTGGAAAAGACACGTGCACGGACATGAATGTGCGCATGCGCGCACACACACACACACATTCAGCAGGGCATCTTGTACTGGAGCAGTACACATTAATCAGGACACTAATCATGACATTTTGTGTTTGTAATTATTTATTAGCCAAAATTACACTGTTGCACATCTGCTCCCCTCCAAAAATCTTTAACCCTTTATAGGGCCAGCATCTATATTTAGACACTTCCACTCACATCATAAATGATGTCAGTGTGCTTTTTCACGGACTCTTAAAATTACGTGATTTCACCCAACCAATCGTCAGAGATCAAGCTAGTCACAGTTGGCGCCATTGCACCATTCGACCAATCAGCACGGCTCTGTGATGCGCCAAATATGATCATGTCTGCAGAACTGGAAAACTGCCTTTCTGCAGCTCTTCTCTCCTCATGTGTAGTCAGATCTCAAAAGCGAACACTGCTAGGTTTATGAACATCACAAGGTTGACTAGTTGTGCTAAATAAGGATATGTGTGTTGTAAAGGTTAAACTGTGTAGCTGGTGAAATCCTAGCTTGAATATCAGAGCTGCCACATTTGATCATACGCCCTGCACAAGTAAAATAAAATGTTTATTTTAGGTAAAATCAATTTTTTAGACATAATCTTCATATTCATGGAAAAAACAACATCAGTTATAATATTGAATATATTTTCCATGAAAACCTGAGGAGGACAGTATTTTTGCCAGCCAACACTGAAATAATTGATGATGATGAAGAAAGATGATGAAGGAAGATGAGTCAGATCCTTAAATATGATTCTTAAATATTCTAATATTCTCCAATTGATCAGAAGTGGTATCTAATGTTCTATAACCTGTTTTTTATAAAAATATATGTATTGTTTATTAATTGTGATATGCTTTAACAGTGATATAATGTTCTGTGTTAGATTATTCTAAAATATCTTATAATGCTCTAAATTATTCTACATTAATGTTTATTTTATTTGTTCATGCTTTTATTTTGGGATTTATTTTGGGTCATTGTCCATATTTGATCACTTTGTTTTCTTTGATTTTCTGCATGAAAATAACATTTTTTGAAAACTGTAACAACAAAATAAACTTTTTTGTACCACAATACTTCCCAGGGATTGAATTTTTTACTTCTAAATTATTGCAAAGACTGCCCTTTAAGGGGCAACAATAGATGCATCAGCTGATATTTGAAATGTACTGAATCCTCTCTTTAAAAGAACATTTTTATAATTGGGATTACGTTCATCTGTTACATCCTAAAAATGTTGGGTTGGTTTATAATGCGATGCATTAAAAAAGGAATAATTGATAAAAACTTACCCACATGTGATGAGTTTGCTTTACTTCCAGACCCAGTAGAACAATTCTGTTTTAAGTTTAAAAGGGAGAAAATCCTAATTTTTCCAGTGATGATGAACAAAAAGCCTTTTATGAATCTGGGAATCGGACGCCTCCACTCCGTGCACTTTAGGGCATATCTGACCAGATTCCAGATCCGGACTTCACGTCTTCTCAAAAACCCACGAAGACCTTACTTTTTGATGATGGAGTTACGGTGGAGGTGCAGGTGCAGTGCACCTGGTGCACGCGGAGCGCCACACGCTCCTCCTGCTCATGTTGCGCCCCTCGCCCCGGCTGGCTGCACGCGCTTGTTCTGGTCTGGTGTTCTGGCAGCGCCTCCTCCTCCTGTCGGTCTCTCCCCCTCCCCCCTCCCCCTCCTCCCTCCTTATCCAAACAGAAAGCTGGAGTCTGGAATCTGCTCATGGCGTGGAGCGGTCATAAAGGGGGAGGACTCCTAAAGTGACTGATAAATTTGCAGAAGCGGCTGTGAGTAAAGATTGGGATGGGTTATTGATTATTCCACCTGGCCGGAGGGGTTTCAGCTGCTCACACAGCAGTGGATCAGCATGTCAGCCGCTCTGCTCTCCATGAGCAGAAGGTTTATGGTTTAGGATTTTAAAGTTGTGGTTTTATTACAGCAAAGCATTACAGGAACTTTATCCTTCTGTCTTGCTGAACCTGACTGTATCTGTTCTATTTTCTTTTTCCTATAAAGGAGGATTGTGGGTAGGCCCTATGCTGTTTTATTTTTAATAAACTATAAAAGTACAGTTAACTGAAAACTAGATGCAGTGTTTCGGCTCCTTCTGCAGATGCACAACAGAAGTAGGAAAAGTTCAATCCTTCAAAATAAGAGTCTAAACATTAACATCTAAACCAGGGGTCTCCAGCCCTGGTCCTCATGGACCAACACCATGCATGTTTTAGTTGTGATTCTGCTCCAACACACCCGATTCAATGGCGAATCAACAGTTTGGCATAACATCTAATATCATTCAAAGCTTATTCAAATTGTGAACCAAAGAAACCTCTAAAATGTGGATGGTGGGCCTTTGGGACCAGGATTAGACATCACCAATCTAAAACACATAACCATTGGATCATTATTAGTTTACTAATTACTCAGTAAAGTGTGTCTGTGTACTTTCTTTTCCCTAATAGGCCCTAATGTGGTACAAATCAACAGTTCCTCACGGTTTGGACCAAACCGCTGCACTTCCCTGTCTCTCTGGCTGTCGGACTGATTCAATGTGGCTTCCAAGTCACATTTATAGAATTCAGGAATTCTTCAGCAGGTTGTTCATGTAGATCAGGTTTGCCCAAAGTGCGGCCCAGAGGCCATTTGCAGCCCTTGGAGTGAGTATCTCCAAGCTATATAACTTTATATTTTAAGTTCATATTTTTTACAGATATATCTATTTTAGGTCTTTTTGGAGTGGAACAAGTCAAATATATAAAATAATGTTTGCATTCTTAAAAGTAATATTATTTTTGTGCCCTGTGAAGAGTTTCAACTTCATGATTTTGGTCCTCATCTTGAAAAGCTGGAACATCCCTGACATAGATCCAAACCTCAGAAATGTTTTATGCTCAGATTTTTACTACCATGCTGCTTTTTGGGACTTTTTTTTTTTAGCAAATAAGACAATTCACCATGAAACATTTTTTGTGTTTTTTTCATTTAAAAAAGGAGGATTTTAGCTACAATCTTCAAACGTTTGACCACTCCTGCTTCTACATGTACATTGTGACTTTGCAGTGGATCACTGTGAAGTTCAAAGGTCAATCATCTCCAGGAGCATATCAGGACCACTGAGAAAGAAGAGGAGTAGGCATCCTGACTAAAGTCTCAAAAATACCTGATGCCAGTAAAACTAATGTTCTCCAGTATACTCAACTTATTTTCTAATTTTCTGTTACTTGGGGATAAATATGCTGGAGGCTCTTATTGTGGACGATTGAATTATGTTATTTTTAAGTTGTTGCTAGCCAGAAGATTGTGCCTATAAATAAAATGTCTCGTTATTATTTAATTGGTAGTTTTCTGCTGGAAATACCTTATTCTGGTACTTATTTAATCTCAACACCAAATCTGTGTTACCACTTTATTTTCATCAATCTAACAAATAGTGCTCCATTTTTAAGCCAATGTGGAATTTTGAGCTACTAAAGTTCATGAAAATTTATCCAGAATAACTATGAAATGTTACAATTATAGCAAAATAAATACTATAAAATAACATTTGTAACACATCAAGTAGTGAAGTTGTACCTGGCCTGATTATAGTTAGCCGTTAGCTTGTTTGTTCCATAATAACTAATCTGTGTTTCTCCAAGCTGAAGCCCTTCTCAATTCAAAAGGTCTGAATTACCACTTTAAGTGCTCAGTAAACGTCACTGGTAAAATATTAGCTTTAAATAGTGTAGGGGAATATTAAGAAATATGAGTTAACCAACAAGTTCAATTTATTTCCAATTCCCTCATGTAGGTATAATTTAGGTCACCTGTTTCCAGTGTTTCAGGAGCCACAAATAGACCCGGTTTCTACTGGGTCGGTAATCCAGCTGAATGGTTCCAACGTCTCAACGCCCCAAAGCTCATTTACGATATTGCACCACACGCATTTTTTACAAGACATACTTTCATTTTTATGATAAATTAATTAGAATTGTACTTAATTGCTGCATAATTATCTTCAGCAGACCTCCCAGTGAGTTACAAGACAAATGTAAAGATGCCCTAAAGTCAATTGAATCTTTATTTTTGAAATGGATCGCAGAGTTCGGTGTTAAAAGGGGTCACTGTTATTAAGGGTTTCACTTGAGAATCATCTCCGTGTCGAACATCTGTCCCACTTTAGCGTTTATCTAAAGAATAGAAACGTTCTCCAGTAGCAGGCCTCTCTGTGAGGATGAATATTAAATGTTGCTCTTTTTGTTTCTAAAGTAATAAAAATATAATTATTTCAATCTATAAAAACTCATTCCAGCACTCCGCTTTCCAGGTCATCAATAAAGAACAGATCATTAAAGTCGGATAATACCTGTGATAATCAATGTAGCGAATTAACTACCGTAAATCCTCTAATACAGGCCCGGGTCTGTATTTGACTCAAGCTCATCAAGCTCCAGGCCTTTATTGGAAGGAGGGCCAGAATTAGAGGCAGGCCTCAATTTCTATTTGAGCAAAATGAACTAATGGTTCGCTGGAGTTTTTGACAATTAAAATTGCGCCCACATTTTCAAAGTTAAACACATTTCTTTTAACAACGGTAGTTTCTGCTTCAGCCCTCTCCCCCCTCCCCCTGCTTCAGCCCTCTCCCCCCTCCCCCTGCTTCAGCCCTCTCCCCCCTCCCCCTGCGCAGCGGCTACAAACTCACTGATGCGCCTGCAGCCTCTCGGAGTTCCTGCTGCTCTAAACATTAAAATAATTATTTCATTTTCTGTTCCTCACTTCTGATGACCTTCAGTGGTGTCTGTTTGTTGCAACCAGCAGGTACAAAAACTATCTTGTTTTTATTTGACTATTTTTCTGTCCTGCCTGTTTATTATCTTCCTGCATCTCCTCTCAATCCTAAAGAGAAACTGCTACCTGGGTTCATATATATTCACCTCATGAGTTACCTTTGAACTGCAGTTCTAAAAGATCTACCGACCGCTAAAACAGCGGAGTGCTCGCCGGCCGCATCAGTTAGGTGCGTTACCGAGGACTAAACAGGTGATAATAATAATAATAATGCATTGAACTTATATAGCGCTTTTCTAGACACTCAAAGACGCTTCCCACACGCTCTCACATTCACACACTGCTAGTGATGGTAAGCTACTTGTAGCCACAGCCGCCCTGGGGAGGTCTGACAGAGGCGAGGCTGCCATTTGGCGCTGTCGGCCCCTCTGACCACCACTAACACAGGCAAGTTGGGTGAAGTGTCTTGCCCAAGGACACAACAGCAGGATACCCCTGGCGGGAGCTGGAATCGGACCCATGACCCTCCGATCATGAGACAACCTGCTCTACCACCTGAGCTACTGCTGCCCCTTAAGGTGATGCCCCCCGATCCACAGCAGCGAAAAGCATCAGGCACAAATAAAAGAATAAAAGACAGAAAACATACAAGGAAATGAGCCGACATGAACGATCGCGTGTTAAATTAGTTTTTGAGGTGGCGACACCTGATTTGATAATGTTACTGTGGCCGTGCTCAGGATGCAGATGTCTGGAGCGCAACGATCAGAGCTTTGCATGTGCAAGCTTAAGGTTAGGATGGGGGTGAGGGTAAGGTTAAATTGCAAGAGGGTAAACTTCACAATATGGTTAAATGTCCGTTTTACGGCGGGTGTCAGTACCGACGCTCTGGCACAGCGCGTTGCCTCCCGACACACAGGAGCTTGTCACCTGCTGACAGCAGGCTGCTGTCTTTTCTGAGGACTGCATCTTGCCGGTCATTATCACGTGACAGCGACTAGTCGATGACAGGCATAACAAGTCACTATAGAGCGGTGAAGTCGACTAGTGACTAGTTCATACAACCCCTGCTACTGCTCCCCAGAGTGTTCTGCAGCATAATCAGCACGTTCTCTTTGAACTTGATATCAAATTTTCGCCTCCTCTTCGTCTCCGTACGGTTAAAGTTACCCTCGCGGTCTATCACTGGCAAATCAAAAGAGAGGCGGATGACACAACCCCCCCGTGGTACTTGCTTGTTACCACATTCCACCCGGCCACAATAAAAAACCGGCCATTATTCACCTCCGCCGACTTCAACACCGGCCCAAATATGATACCCGGCAGTTAATTGAATACAGGCTAATATTAGAGGATTTACGGTAATTACAGTTTAACATAAAAAAAACTAAACAGCTGCAGATTTAATAAAACTGTGAAGTGCTTGTGATGTTAATATAAATAGAACAGCTACTTGAAGGATTATGCATTAATCTATGTTGAATGAAAGATTTTGAAGGCATTTCACACCACATAATTAAATTAAATAGATGTTTCTTTTTTTATTATTTTTTTTAATAAATTGCATTTTTAGTTCATGAAGGAGTTCTATGGGCCCTTGAAATTCCCTCTGAGACTCTTTCAAAGGAGACACTGTATGACATTTGTCTTGAGTAATAATTGTTCTGTGGTCCATAAAAAAGCATGAAGTTCTTTGCGCATGTCGCTCACATGAGGCAGTTTCAGCAGTTGTGAGCCTTTTCAGGTACAGATTTAGATCATTCTGCAAGGCGTGAACTGGCGAACCCCGTGAGGACACCCAACACAGAGAGAACGCTTTAGAAAAGAGTTTTATTAAAAGTCTCCGAGGGAGGGAACCTGGGTGGAGGGAACAG